GAGTATATTGGTAATGTGAAACCACAGCATCCCCCTTATTTAATTTAAACCTTTGTTTTTATGATAAAAATTTATGATAAAGTCAGAAATATTAAATTTTGGTTCGCTTTAGTCCCTTTCTATGAGGATGTTGACCAGAAATTACGAGTACAATAGAATGACATACACAGTGTATGTTTTTAAAACACATTGTATTATAAAATTATATATTGTATATTATAATTTAATAAATATTATATTGTATCATAGGTATATATTTAAATTTATATATTCTCTAACTAGTACCTGTTTTGGACATACAATGTCTATTTAGTTTCTTTTAATATATTTAAAAAGGATTTTTATGTATTACTCCACTTTACTTCTATATACGTATATACTTATTTTTAACGTAGGCTTTTTTTAATGCTAAAGTGACAAACGAATTTAACTTCAACATTTATAAAAAAGTTAGAAATATTAAATTATGGTTCACTTTAGTTCCCTTTTATGTGTATGAGGACCAGACATTATAAAAGAATAAAATAAACAATTTTTAAAATACAATATATTTTAAACCTATACAAATAAATAAAATAAAAGTCTCTGTTTGTAATGTCAAAATAACAGCTTTCAACTAAATGCATATGAATGTATATATACTTATACGATACGATACTTATAACAAAAAAAAATTTATAAAGTGTTTGTCTGTCTGTTTGTTCCGGCTAATTTCCGAAACGGTTGGACTGATTTTGTCGGGATTTTCAATGTCGAATAGCTGATGTTATAACGAGTAACTTAGGATATTTTTATTTTAGCCCAAGAATTAGGGTTCCGCGCAAAAAAAGTAAAACGCACGAAATTGTAAACAAAATACAATTCATATAGGAAAGTTTTTTAAAATTATATAAATTTAAAAAAAACTATGCGAACGAAGTCGCGGGCACAGCTAATATATACTCTAAATTTATAATAGGTACATATGTAAAATACAATCATTTAAATATATATTTTAATTTTATAATTTCTCTAACTACCTATTTTTGGGCATTACTGTAATATCTATTAATAATATGTAATGTAATTCTCGTAATACTATTTTATAAAGGATTTTATGTAATATTCCATAATGTTTTTATATACGTATAATAACAATGTCCTCCAGATCGAATTTCGGTCACGGCGCGGCGGCCCCCACGGAGACTAGCCACCGGCGCAGGACAGGATTATAGTGCACAAATGTATGCACAAGCACAGGTGCACACTCTGTTCCCTCACTCTCATTATCCGTTGGGACGGTAAACCGAGACTACCGGAGCGAGATCGTGCACAGGACCAGCGGCTTTACGTGCGTTCCGAGGCACGGGGGTGAGACAGCGCCAGCTATCTTACTCCGGGCAGCTACTGTAAATTTCTTGACGGGAAAACTCAATAGTTGATTTTTTGGCATGAACCGGGGTTCGAACCCAGGACCTCATGATCAACAGTCGCACCCTACCACAACCACTAGACCAACGAGGCAGTCACATAATATAATATTATACTTATAATATTATATTTTCAACGTAAGATTTTTTTTATAATACTAAAGTGAGAAGCGAACCTGCAGCCAATTTTAAACAACGAAGACTGGCAAAGCAACGAAGGACAGATAAGGTAAAATAAAATACCTAACCATATAATATAACGCCTCACAGTTATATTATATGGTTAGGTACTTTATTTTACCTCATTGCACTGATCAAATTATCTCAATACGCCCCGGATTGACTGGAAGAGAGTGCCTAGTCATGAAAGTCCCCCGTTTGTGAACCTCGTTTAAAATCATAAAGATTTAGTGAATTAATAAAATAAACCATGTAGTTGTATTTGACAGACTTAAAAATAACTTTAATCATGACACATTAGACTGAAAGACGAGTGTGAAAGCATTTTAAACGTGGTAGAGCCATGCTGCAATTATATTAGTAGTATAGTTGTAGCACGAATGGGTCGGCTCGACCGGGGAAGGACCACGCTCTCACAGAATACCAGCGTGAAATAGTAGCTTAATGCTGCTGTATTTCGTATGGTGAGTGTAGAGAACCGGAGACCCTTTTTACTGGAAATGAGGCATTCCATCTCAGTCCTCACGGGTGACAACGCATCTGCATTTTGATTTGTAATGGAAGATAGATGTAGATGTCTATGGGCCGCAGCAACCACTTACCATCAGGTGGACTGTGTGCTCGTTTGTCACCCTATCCTATAAAAAAAAAATATTACTTGGGAAAGACCAACGAACGTTAGGTACCTACATGATGCTAATGACCTAATTAGATTTCTTTATGAGTAATGTTTTTTCGCAAGGAGAATAATCAAATAAAATCAAACTCTTAGAAAGTAATCAAACCGTATGGGTTAGTTGTTTTCCTAAAAACTGTTAAAATTGAAAGTCAGACCCCGAAAAAGGTCATGACATAGTTTGAATAATTTGGTGTTGACGAAGTTAATCGTTATATGAATTGTATCAATAAATCGTTTTGAAATTTACTATAGATTGTGGTCACTACTGTTAAAAGTGTCGGTCGTTGATCGATATGACTCAAACATAAAAAATTGGTCAAATTTAAAGTGTAATGTTTGTAATTTCTTGTTTCGTAATTCTGGATTATGCTTAGCCTATGATAATATATCTATTGTACACACAAAAGATATATTTAAAATGTAGAATATAAAGATTATTTATCTTTTGTACACACAAAAGATATATTATCATAGCAGCTAAGTTTTTACGTGATATAGCCATGCTGCAGCTATATTGTGGTTGCAGCACGAAAGGGTCGGCTGGACCGGAGTAGGACCACGCTCTCACAGAATACCAGCGTAATACTTCTGTGTTTCGTATCGTATAGAACCGGAGACCCTTTTTACTGGAAACGAGGCATTCCATCTTAGTCCTCAGGGCTGGCAACGCATCTGCATTTTGATTCTTCATTGAAGACAAGTGTAGATGTCTATGGTCAACAATATTCATTTACCATCAGGTGGACTGTGTGCTCGTTGGTCACCCTCATTCTATTAAAAACACAAATACGAGTTAAAGTTGAGAGTGTAAATTCTTTACTACATATTTATTTATTCATACATTAAAACCTTTAAAGTCCATTGCTTAACAAAGACCTTTCCTATAAATTACCTTCTACGTAGTTTGCACACAAGCAGTTGGGTATCGCAGATTTTTTATTATTTTGGGTTGTTATTGTTATCAGGAAGATGTTGCAACCTATCTGTTGATTTATTTTACTCTGTCGCCACTAAACTCTATATTATATATTATACTGTTTATTCCTTAAAGTATTTACTTACCGAATGGGTAGAGAACGATGGATGGATGCATATTATATACTATAAATAGAACGGGGAGTAGGCGGAGCCCGCGTGGCCACTAAAATGTCACTAACACGTCAATTCACACGTATAAATGTCAACACGAAATTTGTTTTGACGTTACAATCGTTTCCAAATTTCCCATGCAAATTATTTAGAAAAAGCCAAATTGCACCCTATTTACAAATAAAATATATATCAAAATTGAACGATGATCTTTAACATTAACCAAAAGTCTAAAATGTGTAAATTTACTCAGTCTGTCAACATAGCGAATCAGGTTTGGCGACGCAAATCCTCGTATATAATAAAGTTGTCAGCCGAATCTATTGAGTATTATAGTATTCGATGGATGGATGTATGTTAGATGGCAGATCTCATATATGCCAGATATAACATTGCAACGAGAGGAAGCAAGGTCAAAAGTGCACCCCCCCGAACGGGTTCCCGCCTTGTCGTGGCGGGGGGGCTTAGAAGCCGTGGCTTGGTCACCCACGGCGAAACAAAGAGGAACCCATATGGCTGGTCCGAGGTAGAGGGCCGGCCCGAGGTGGCCACTCCGAGTGGGCTTGGGAAGCCCACTTCGGATGTGTGTTGGTGGACTGCGGTGAGAGGTGTGTCCTCCCCACCTACCGCTGCAGCCGAGGTGGAGTCGCGGAGGAAGAGGAGTGTTGGTATGGCGATGCGCCACTCGCCCTATCCTCCGCGACTCAAACGGGGCCGCACCGTTGATGCGGTGGTGATGGGGCTGCGGGGGGAGAGGATTGTCGGTATTGCGAGGCGCCGCTCTCCCTATCCTCCGCAGCCGAATCTTGGTTGGCGGCGGAGCCATAGACCAGATCCGCCGCTGGGGTCGGGAAGGCTAGTACTTCTAAGTGCTCGTTTTTCCTGGCCCCATGGCCTTCGCGCATCGGACGCGGGGGCGTCTGTTGCGCAGATATAATTGGAGGCCGTGGAGGAAGGCGTGCCATGTGTTCTGGTGCGCCTTACTTGGGAAGGAGAACGGGGAGGAATATTCCTTTCCCGATGAGGTGCTGCCATGGGGCGGCAGTCGCTGGTGGGGCCGCGGATGTGTGCGAATGCGTTCCCGTAGCCCTGCCAATATGCGACGAAGGTGGAACACCATGGGGTTTTAGTCGATGCGAGTCCGACATAACCCGTCCTTGCCCCCGCGAGGCGGGTATGCGTAGGCATTTCCTCATGTTAAAAAAAAAGGTCAAAAGTGCAATGTGTCTGCAACTGAGATATGACTGGTAATCCCGACAAGCGTGGAAATTGCGGTGAGTTCTTTCTACAATGGACGAATAACGGCCAATGATGTAGAAAAGACAATTATTTGTATAATAATAGCGTTATTAAGCGTTGTAGTAAAATATCTGTATTTTTAATTTTCTGACTTAATGCGTATAGATAATTACGTAATGCAGGTGGCTCAGGACCGTGCTTCGTGGCATACCTTGGGGGAGGCCTATGTTCAGCAGTGGACTTGTGAAGGGCTGCAATGTCATCATTGCAGCCCTTCACAAGTTTCACACGATGATGATGATGACGTAATACAAACGTACTAAGCATACATATTTATGATAGAATTTTAACATAAATTATTATTGACAGAGGAATTTATTTAATTTCAGGGTCCTATTGGCGTCATGACAACCAGTGCTGGTGCGCCTATAGAATACAAAGACGCTAGAGTCACTCTCAATTCCAGACTAATATTTAACGAATATTTCATGGACATGATCACTCATATTGTTCGTGAAAGAATACCCGAGCGTATAGTTCACGCAAAAGCAGCAGGTGCATTTGGGTACTTCGAAGTGACACACGACATAACACACATTTGCAAAGCGAAATTATTTGCTAATGTAGGAAAAAGAACCCCTGTTGCAGTACGCTTTTCGCCTGTTGTGGTAGAAAAAGGAGGAATAGATACTTCAAGGGATGCAAGAGGCTTTTCTATCAAATTCTATACAGAAGAAGGTAACTTCGATATTGTAGGTTTTAATACACCTATGTATATTTATAAGGATCCGCTACTCTTCACATCTTTTGTTAGAGTTCAAAAACGAAATCCGGCTACAAATTTGTTCGACGGTAACACTTTTTGGGACCTCCTAACTTTACAACCGGAGAGCTTACACATGTTCCTTTTAATATTTGGAGATCGGGGGAATTCCTGATGGGTACCGTCACATGCCTGGCTTTGGTATCCATACTTATGAAGTTGTTAACGAACATGGAGAAAAAAGCTTTGTCAGATTTCATTTTACGCCTACAGCTGGTATTAAAAATCTTAGATCGGAAGAAGCACGACAAATAGCAGCTGTTGATCCTGATTATGCTACTAGAGATTTATACAGAGCCATTGGTAACGGGAATTTCCCTAGTTGGAAAGTTAGTATACAAGTATTATCATTAAATGATGTTAAAAATGCTGGATTCGACGTGTTTGACGTGACCAAAGTTTTACCGTTGGATAGCTACCCACTGATACCTGTAGGAGTGTTCGTGCTTAATAAAAACCCAATTAACTATTTCGCTGAAATAGAGCAATTAGCTTTTAACCCTGCAAATCTAGTGCCCGGTATTTTGGGAGGCCCTGACAAAGTATTTGAAGCTCGCCGCTTAGCTTACCGTGATGCTCAATACTACCGTCTAGGTGCAAATTTCAACAAAATACCCGTAAATTGTCCCATTCAAGCTAAAGTGATGGCCTACAACCGTGATGGCAGACCTCCAGTGGAAGATAATGGAATAGATTCTCCAAATTATTATCCTAATTCTTACAATGGTCCCGAAGCTTACTTTGATAAGAAAAGAACTGAGTTAATTGAAATATTCCAAGATGATCCAAACAATTTCCAGCAAGCAACAGAATTGTATGTAAACGAGATGACGAAAGATGAACGCAGCCGACTTGTTGAAAACCTACTATACAGCTTGGGACCAGTGGCTAAATTTTTACAAGATAGAGCCGTGAAATTATTTACCATCATACACCCCGATTTAGGTAACCGTCTCGCTGAGGGCTTAGCGGCAAATAGAACTAACGATTATTATTTTGATGACGATAAGTTTTATAACTATAACAAATAAAGGCAAATGTGGATAATTTTTGGTTTCATATTTAACACAATACAACTACTATAACTACTACACTAGGAATTCCTATGGAATACCTGTACAGTAGAGAAGTGCTTCATATAAATAAATTGCAAAGACAGACACCCTGATTACACTCATAACAATGATTTATGGATTCCCGACAGAATTATATATTTCAAACATTTTATTAGTTTCAAATACTTGTTATGTTCCGATTGAGCCTTATCTCCTGAACTAGGAATCCTGCATGTCAAGAGCTAGTCCCTTCCATACTTTATGCACAAACGATATTAAAATAAATTCTAACCTTCAATTTAATTTAATGACATTATACTCTATTTTATTAAAATTAACATAGAGTACTTTAAATAGATTATTAAAATAAAAATTATAGTTCACATTAAATATTAAAAAAAAATTGTAATTTAATAATATGTAATAATGACTAAGAATATGACCATTTGTATGTATATGTTTTGTGTATGTGTTTGTGTATATTATAATATGTAAAGTAGTGTGGTTAATTTGTGACAGTGATTGTAAGAGTTAAATAAATATATGTTTAATCAATTATTAAGTATTTACGTTCATTATATTTCCGCAGCTATCATATTCGTGTTTGTACAGCCATGATGATAGTAAACCTTTTATTTGTTTTTGGTTATGTTTTCTTGGTTTCATTATTTTGTTTAACTTATTACATAAGCATGGGACCTGAAAATAATAAAGTTTTCTAGCATAGGGCGTTCTAAAAATGGGAATAGGATAACTATATCAACCCTCTTTTTTATGATTGGAATGGTTGGCGAAATAACACAATAATATCGCACTATGCTGAATTTTTTTTAAAGTGATGTGGTAGGATGCTTGTAGGGTAAAATCATAATGATTTTCTCCAAATATATTTAAGTAGTACTAGTCTTTAATCTCAGAGTAATTACTAGCATAGAGAGAGTCCTAAAATAGGAACAAAATTCTAATATTTGAGGTCTTTATACAACATATGCTGCCTTATTAATAAAAATTGCTTATTCCAGTAACTGACTATTTACTTCGTTATTACAATATTATTAATAAACCTGGAGTAACCTCGGACTAAGAATACATTTCTTACGCCGGGATTAACGCTTGCGCTATGGCAACCCACTTATTTTAAAAGTAAAAAGAGTGAGTCAGTGAATGATTGGTGATTGAACTCTGGGTGCGTTTGGCAGAAAAAGCGTTAGCAAGCGCTTGTAAGCAAAATGGCGAAACTAAACAGCTTTCGGCCAGCTTCAGTAGCGCTGACACAATCCGCTATTTTGCTATTTTATTTTGTTTGTTTTGAAGTAGAGTTTATAAGTTGTTTTGTGCAATATTAGTTTTAAGTAATATAATAACATGAATAGATATATACATGTTATTAAAAATTCATGATTGGTAAGGTTTTAATATGAATACTTTACAAACATATATTTAAATTAGCTTAGGTTCCCCGGTTAAAACTAACTTTGTGTCCTAGAGGAAAATAGCTACTTACGATTTGACAGCGACCGCCATTTTGCTTACAAGCGCTTGCTAGCGCTTTTTTCTGCCAAATGAACCCAATGCTTAATGATGACATTACTGACAGTGACAGGGAATATTTTGAGTTTGACAATTAAGTTTTTATAGAGGAATAGATGTGTTATGCGTAAATGAGACGAAAAGGAAGGGGAAGGATGTCACTACACATGGCATGTATACCGCATACTGGTCTGGTGTAGACGAGATCGAGCGGGCATGCCAGGGAGTAGGTATCATCCTTTCAGAAAGAATGGGCCAATGTGTGAAAGAGTATGAATGTGTAAGTCCAAGACTGCTATGGATACGAATGAAAGTGGGCTTAAAGAAGTTGTTCGTGTTAGGGGTCTACGCCCCAGACATGTCTAAGCCCACTTATATCCGAGAGCAGTTTTGGGAAATGGTAAGGATGGTGTTAATGAAGTGTAAGGGAAATGAAAATATTATTATGCTAGGAGATTTTAATGGAAGGGTTGGGGTGAGGAGGCTTGGTTATGAAAGGATATTGGGAACTTTTGGTGATGAAAGTATAAATGAGAATGGTGATAGTCTCCTCACCGTATGTATTGAAAAGAATCTTTTTGTAACGAACACTTGCTTTCGCAAGTGGATTCATATGTATACTTGGGAAAGAGGTGACGATAGAAGCATGATAGATTTCATAATTGTGGATGAAAGATTGAGGGGCGCAGTGGTGGATACAAGGGTTTACCGGGGTTCTAACGTAGGAACGGATCATTATTTGGTTTTATGCCGAATTAATGGTCTATTCAGGCGTTGGCGTCATCGGTCATCTGTGTCTACCACTGCGTTATAGCGTATTAGAACAGAAAGGTTGCAAGATGAAGGTGAGAGAAAGAAGTTCAAATGTAGACTGAAAGAAAATATAAGTGGTTTGGATGAATTATGTATGAAGGAGTTAGACTTGGAGAATGTATGGCAAAATGTAAAGAAAGGTTTAGTGCATGCAGCTACCGAAGTATGTGGTGTTAGTAAGAGAAAGAATGAAAGGAAAAATAATACGTTATGGTGGGATGATGAGATACGTATGGAAGTTGAAGCAAAAGAAGAGAGCATGGCTAGATTTACTAGCAACAAAGGCTGGTAATTCTAGCGGTACGAATGATATTGAAAGAAAAAAGGCGGTCTTTAGACATCTTAATAAGAGAGTAAAAGAAGTAGTTGAAAGAAAAAAGCAAGAAAGAACGGATAAGAATGATAGAAGAATATCGGATAACTTCCAGGCAAATATTAAAATGTTCTGGAAACTGGTAAGAACTGCCTGGGGACATTCAAAACAGCCTATGATGAATGCTATAAGAGACGAGAATGGCTATATTCTGAATGATGAAGTTTTGAGTTTAAAGAGATGGAAGGAATATTTTGAAAGCGTGTTTATGAGTGAGGAGACAACATGTGTACTAAGTGAAGTAGAAACTCCGAAAAAAGAGGAAAGAGGTAGCGAGATAAGTATAGATGAAATAATGAAAGCAATGAAAAGCATGAAAGCGGGTAAGGCGCCCGAATATGATAGAGTTTCACTCGAAATGCTAAGGGCTGGAGAGGAGGTGGTGGCAGGCCTGCTGCACACCTTGTTTAATTTATGCTGGGAACTGAAGCGGGTACCGGTAGACTGGTGCAAAGCCGTGATAGTCCCAGTATATAAAGGAAAAGGGTCGCAGCAAGACTGTAAAAATTACCATGGCATCAGCCTTCTTAGCATTGTGGGAAAACTGTACGCTAAGGTACTGATTGAAAGGGTCATGAAAGAAACTGATGGATCAAGTCTTTTCCATGCGCATGATCGCGGAGAAGTGTCTGGCCAAAAACAAAAAGGTTTTTTGTGCGTTCATGGACTTGTAAAAGGCCTATGACAGAGTAGATAGGGATTTGCTATGGCAAACACTGAACTCATTTGGGTTGAGCGCTGGCTTGATACAGGCATTGGAGTCTCTTTATAGGAACTCTAGTGCTTGTGTTAGGATCAACGGGGTCTACTCGGACTGGTTTGACATCCATAAAGGTGTCAGACAGGGCTGTGTGGCTTCCCCGTGGCTGTTCAACCTATTTATGGACAGTTGTTTGCAAAATTTGAAAGTTGAAGAATGTGGATTAAGAATGGGTGAGTTAACCGCCAAATGCCTTTTGTACGCCGATGATCAAGTCATTCTTGCGTCGTCGGCGGCCGATTTGCAAATGATGGTTACATTAATGAACGGATCATTAAAAGAAAGGGGTATGAAAGTGAACGCAAGTAAGACGAAGGTTATGGTTTTTGAAAGAGAAAAAAGTAAAACGATTTGTGAAATAAGAATAGAAGGGGAGTTGATCGAGCAAGTAGATGAGTTTGTATATTTGGGCTGCGTATTTAGCAGGGATGGGAGATATGATAAGGATATAGAACGACGAGTGAATGCGGGAAATAGAGTAAATGGGGCCTTGCACTCTATTGTGAAGAGTCAAAATGTGTCGAAAAAGCACGTATGGCAATTCACAATGCTGTGTTGGTCCCTACTTTAACGTATGGTAGTGAAAGTTGGGTGTGGCAGAAGAAGCACGAGAGTAGAATAAACGCAGTAGAAATGCGGTCGTTAAGGAGTATGTTAGGGCTAAATCTGAATGACAGGGTAAGAAATTGTGTAATAAGAGAAGAGTGTGGTTTGCAAGATGATGTTGTGACCAGGATTAAGAAAGGAATGCTTCGGTGGTTTGGTCATGTGGAAAGAATGAATGAAGAAAGAGTGACAAAGAAAATTTATGTTGCAGAAGTGAATGGCAGAGTCGGAAAGGGACGTCCTAGGCGAAAATTTATCGACCAAATATGCGATTTATTGGAAACGGGCCAAATTAGGAGTACCCTTAACCGACGAGCATGTATGCGTAGGTGTATGGATGTGAAGGAGGCGAGAGAGGTGTGTCAGGATCATGCCAAATGGAAATCTGTAGTCTCTGCCTACCCCTCTGGGTGACAGGCGTGAGTGTTTATGGATGGATTATGGAATTAAGTTTTTGGCGGGAACTTGGCCGACGACGGACTGTCGCTCTTGTTTTGTCGCTTGAATAATTGTTTGAAGTGGATTTTAATTCGTAAAAAAGATGTGATTTTGTGAATTAATTGTCTGCGCGTGTGAACTATTAGAGAAAACGACGAAACAAGTGAGGTAAACCGCAAGTTATTTTGATCGCTTAGGCGCCTTATGAACTTAAGTGGCTATCGTCATCAACTGTCCGCTGGGTTGAGCTGTCGTCAAAATCTCCCAAGGGCTTCGCAATGTGACGCATCAGCACATTGTGAAGAAAATAAAAAAAGCTCGGGAACCTTGAAACTGGACTGATAAATCTACATGGATTGAAACTTATAAAGACTATAATATAAAGAAGACTTGGCTTTAGTCTTTTTGGTTTTTGAAAATATGAAGAATTAAAGAAAATGAGACTTGGCTTCGGCC